TTCTCTTTTCTCTTGCTTGAATGCTATTTCTATTCAAGGAACACCAGGGCTCAGGGATACGCATGCTGTCGGGAGACTCGGCCAGGAAGCTGTGAACAGCATGTTTACAATTTAAACCTTGCTAAGTTCCATTTGTGCAAGGGTCATGCCATTTTTGACACATAAGTGAAACTTTAAATGTCTTGGCAATCACCACCGTGAAGGGCGGGTAAGCAGATTGGTGATGGGAGGGAAATCGGGAAATCAGACCTACTTATTTTACCAGGTGGCCTCTGCAATGCATTTTAAAAAAGCAGCTTAGTTCCCCATTGGGCCGTGAAGAAAGATTTCAGCCACAACGCAGAGACGGAGCTGAAAAGTTTCACCTGAGAAGTGTGTCCAAACCCTACTGTGCTGGCCCACCCCTGCCCAGCTCAGCACTTCTCCCAGCCACACGCGCACACACACATCACAGGAGAGTCCAAGAAAGCAGTGGCTGGACGCAGACAAGACTTTAACGGGCACACGCCAATTTGACTCCATGCCATGATGTTAAAGTCACACGGAGGGGGCAGACAAGGTTTCTAGCTAGTGCTGAGACTAGATCGTGAGCCGAAGGAGGAAAAAACCAAAACCAAAAAGCAGCAATGACAGGAGCTGGGTGGACTTGACGCCTGCCACCTCAGGTGAGCAGAGGTTGCAAGTCATCATGGCTGGCACCAAGATGGCCCATGCCTTTGATTTTCACTGGATCGCAGCAGGCACTTCCCACCTCCCACCGTAGTTTTTACGCCCAAGGTTAAGAGTTAATGTTCGCCAATGCGGTCAATAGATCTAAGTGCTGTTTTAGAGCTGCTGCGCCTAGCTCTCTGCTTTGCCCATTCCTTCACCAGCCTGGCTCTGCGTAGCCCTGGACTCAGTAAGCTGGCAAGGAGAGAGCCCTCTGCAAGGCTCCTGAGACACATGTGCTGTCGGAGTGTCCGAGGGCAGAGCCGCTCACGTCCAGAGTCTCCTGTGAGCTCTCGTTTCAGACATTGCTAGCTCTTTCAACCATTTGTCTGGAGAGGTGCGTACAGGTTGGTGTCCCGCTGGAGAGATTCGTTTCCACGCACCTAGCGACATTTGTAAATCTCCCCAAAACAGCCATTCTCCTGCTACAACACACTCCCAGCTGCTTGGCTTCTCTAGCCACACATGAGCAACCTGTCGCTGGATCCCAGCACAGAGAGACTTGCCCTAGGAATCACACCTGCTCCGACACCCAGTGAGGGGGAAACTCCATGGCCCTGTTTCGTTTCCAGTATATCGGACCCGGTGGTTGCAACAAGCACTTCGTTCTTATGCAGCCCCGGAGGTTTTCCCCCCCACAACGCAAATGCCTCTCCTGCTAACAGTCAGGCATGCACAGCTGGGTTGGTTCTGCGCCAACAAATCAAGCTTATAAAGGGAGTATGGAACCAAGCATGCTGTGGTTACACACAGGTGACTTTAATTCTCAAGGCAGAGAGGCTGGTAGCTCAAGAAAGAATCCCCACTGCAGCTCTGAGCACAAGAACTGAAGTCAGAATTGACCCTCTTCAGTTTGAAGAGTGAAATTCTAAAGGAAGCTTTCCCGGATGGCTTCACAGAGAGCCCAGCCTTAGTCCGGTGAAGCCAGCTGCGTCTGACGAGCACGGTGTACTCACCACTCAGGGAGCGGCTCGGGGAGGAGTGCTGGCTGTTTGGGGTGCTCACCGTGGGTCCCACGATCGCTGAGCTGAACTCCTTCTCCAGAGACGAATCCCCACTACCTTTGGGAATAAGAAGCAGGGAACACAGATGAGAGGGGGCCGCTCCTGCCGGCTTTACAATCGGTGTCAGTCAGTGAAATCCTCTCCCTCGTAACCTAAGCAGCGAAGCCCTGAAAAGAGGTTCCAGCTGGACCTCCTGCCCTTCTGTTTGGGTGTCGGAAGACAAACACCGCTATGCTGCTGAAAGACAAACCCTTTCCCACAGGGGGCAATAGAGCGGCCAGGGACCTAGGCACATTCCAGGTGCCGTGCAAACGAGGCGTGTTACTTTGCAGCGAAATGGTTAGTGGACAGACAACCCCCAGCGCGCTTGAAAAGATGCACACATCTACGTGCGAGGACGCCCGCCAGGCCTCAGCTGGAAAGGTGGATCACTGGCCCCTTGGCTTTGCAAGCGTCTGGGACTGCTCCCAAGGGAGCCCTTTGCAAGTACAAACATGGCAGCAGTCGGACAGGCTGACGCTCTCCCCAGGCAGGTCTGTTTTCTGTAGCACGATGGGGACCGGGAGCCAGCTCATGACACGGGCTGGTTTGCCGTCCCAAGCACCGTGTCTTTACTGAGGGTAGACCTTTCCCGCAACAAGGCAGCTGTCACCTGGGAGGCCGGGCGTTAATTCAATCCGGCAAGGGTGATTCCGGTCTTCACCCTCCTGAGATTAGCAATGCGCTGCACAGCTTCCTGCCCGGACAAACCCTTGCCAGCCAAGAGCCCGCCTGCTGCAAATGGACCTGCAGGAACCTTCGGGCGCCACGTAGGTTTCATGCTCCCAGGCCACATGTCCCCTCCCACCACCACTGCTGTGGGCTGCGTCGCTGTGGCACGGCACGAACAGCTTGCAAGTAGCGATGGGATGACGGAGGCTGTAGCCGTGCGAACTTTTGATGCAGATGGTAATGCTGCTTCTAATGGCTGCATCTGGGTAAACCCTCGTCCCGACACACATGCCGTCCAGCTCGCCCCGTTGTCTGAGGGGCCACAGGGAACGCGGCATAGGAGGCCATGCCGGCAATGGGAGTCATTTACCATAAATGCCCCGAAGTGATGTGTCAGGCTGCAAATCACCACTTGGCACAGAGCCATGGTGCTGAGCTGGGGCTGCCCAGGCAGCATCCCCCCCCCTCCAGCCCCACCCCACAGCAATACTTTAAGGAAGATTTTTCTGTTCCTCTGCATAAGGGTGGTAGAGAAACCCCCGGATCTCCTCTCTTCCTCTCCCCCATGCTTTGACTGGCTCAATAAGCTGTTGCCGGCAAGTTTGAGTCATGCTAAGCCAACACACATCACCAGCAGAAGCCACACGCCCTGGATACCAGCTATTCGCTCCGAACTAGGAGAGGTTAACGAGAATTTCAAACCACCAAAGAGAACACTAAGAAACCCAGTGATGCTGCAGGGCTCCGGCAGGGCCATTTCACGCTCCCTAAGAGCTGGACCCAGCATTGTCTCAGCCCCGCCGGCACGCGCAAGGCGTTACGGCTGGACGAGAAGCACGGAACATACGTTCTACAGCCGGGAAGCCTCTCAGAAAAGACACAGCAGTGGGGAGGGAGCGGAGGGGCAGTGGCACCTAATCTCTGCTCAAGCCACTTAGCACCTCTGGTTATAATCACCCTCTGATCCTTTATCCCTGGCAGCATTTGCCTTTTTGTCATTCTCCCACGGTCAGAAGCGCAGTCGGACAGTCTCAGCCCCGCCGGCACGCGCAAGGCGTTACGGCTGGACGAGAAGCACGGAACATACGTTCTACAGCTAGATGATGAGCTTTCGTGGGCCAGACCCACTTCCTCGTTCCCTCCCACCCCCATCTCAATCTCCATCCAAAGAGATTTCTCCTGCACAGCATGTTAAAGACACCCCCCACCCCTTTCTCCTCCCCACCCCCAACGTAAAGAGACAGAAATGGCACAGAGTCATTCCCCCCCCCTCTCCCATTTCACTTACATTATTCTACCTTGCTGAAGATACCCTGGAGTGTTATCACAGCCAACTCCTTGGAAACAGCACTGGAATACAGGCTGTGTGTGCATGTCTGCATGGCAGTGGTAGGGTGAACTCAGCCACTCACCTTCCAGGAAGAAGAGATTCCTGGAAGTGAGAGAAACGGCCGTCATTTTACAGTCAAGAGGCACAGTTAGCAGGAATTCAGGGCTGCGGCATCCCCTTTTGCAGAGAGGCACGCTCGCTCCCCCGGCAGCTCGCCGGGTGTGTGCACGTGTCCTAAAATAGCTCAGCCAGCGAGAGAGCCCGGCTGGGCCATCCCCTTAACAAGCCAGTTAAAGCAAAAAAAAGGGGCTAAGCCTAGAGCCCTGTCTCCATGGGGAACGGCTGCAAGCGCTAACAGAGCATCGCCCAAGACCGAACAACAATGCTGCAGAGAAGAGAACCCGCCTCACACTGCTGGGATACAAATCTGCCATCACAGACCTTGCAGTCCACGGGCACAAGAAGCAACTGAGCAAAGTACCACGAAAAGCAATGGGAAAGAGAGACAAGTGTATGTAGGAAAACACGTCCCAAGCCAGATTTAGGCCCCTAGCAAGCAACCGTCACCCTCCAAGCATCCGGTTAATGACGGAGCATTGGGGTGGACCCTGAACTTGTAGCAATGGATGGGGAAAGAGGGTGTCTTGAAATCTTAGTAATGGATTCAAGAGGGGGTGGGGGGAAGTATTTAATGCAATCCAGGCACAGGCACAAGACCGGTCAAACCCCTTTTGGCAGCCCAGTCATCCTACTTTTCTCTAGAGCCTTTTATCCCGAAAGCCCCCAAAGAGTTTGCAAAGCTGCATACACAAACGGCTAACTGAATCCATTCCCGGCACGTAGCCTCTGCTGGGACGGCCCAGGCAGACAGACTGTGCATAGCTAAGAACCTGCCCCTAAGGAGAAAGGCCCTGGGATGCCATGGCCCTGGAGAGCTGACAGGGCCCCATTGGGGAGGTCAAACAGTTAACCACTAAGCAGGTGGTCTGTGGGGATGCTTACCAGTTAACCGACCCGTGGCAGTGAACGCTGGTGGCCGCGAGCCGCGTCAGGCCTGCGCAGGAGGAGTCGGTGGGTTAGGCAGCAGGAGCTGAGTCAAAGCGTTAACCGGTTACACGCTATCATGTAACCAGTTAACATCCCAAAGCCCCGTCCCAAAGCCTCCATCCGCACTCAAAGGTTCCATCCCCACCCAGTATATTGGGCAGAAACTGACCTGTCTCTGAAGAAGCAAGAGTGCTTTTAAAACCAGAGCCCTCGCCAAGGCCTTTGAGAGTTTCAGTCCTAATGCTTGGGTCCTAATGCCAGCCCATCAACAGCTACAGAGCAACACTGCCACACAAGAGGGATTTAACCCTTTCCTGCCACCCAGAAGGGCCAATCATGCAAACTGCTCTGAGAAGACAGCTGCACCTATCAGAGAGGCCAGGAACTCACAATGGAATTTGCAGGGTTCCTTTCAATACACATGGCTTCATCCCACTCCTTTGACCTACTTTGTGGAGGGACTGCATGTGGCTTCAGAATCTCTCCAGAGTTTAACTGGAATAACTCGCCCAGCTCTACAACTTCATGCGGTGGAAGACAACACTTCACTCAACGCGTGCACAAGTCTTGTACACAACATACAGAATAATACACCTCACCTAGCCTTTGCGTGCTATTATCCCCATTTCATAGATGGGGAAACTGAGGCAAAGGAGCCAGAAAGCACCTAGCTTCACCCAGACAAGTGATCTGACATACAAGTCAGCGGCAAAGCCACAACAGAAGCCAGGAGACCTTGCTCCCATGCCCCTAGCCTCACACACACACTTCTCTGCTTCCAGCGATCACCTGAGGCAAAAGGCAAAGCAAACGAGATGGTGTCAGTAGGTAGCAAGGGCCCCACTCTCCCAGTGTCAAAGAGCACACGTGTCTGATGGTAAGAGGACAGCAAAAGCACTAATCACAGAGAATGACTTTTACTGCCTTTTTAAAAACCATGGAGAGATTGTTCTCTCTACAACCCAAGGACATGTGCCTCAGGGAATTGATATGCGATATGTGTTGTTTACTGCCCCTGTGATTGGTAGTAACGGAGCCATTGCCAGAACGGATCGAAAACTGTATTTTCCTAGAAAAGGTTCCCAACAAAAATTCCATTTTCTTAACAACATTTTCAGGTTTTCCGTTTTCCAAGGAAAGCCTGAAATGTCTGACAAAACTTGGACGGGCTCATGTGAAAGTTTTCCTTTAACTGCAAAGCCAGATTTTGTGGAAGGGAGTTTTGTTTTTGTTTCTCCCCCTCCTTCTCCTTTTTGAATCAACTTGAGTCACTGGCTATTCGAGGCCCATATCGAATGGCTGGGTGGCTCTTGGTTTGGTGCCTAGTGGGGAGGTAATGGAGCCACTACGCCGCTTTCCGATGGAGCCAACATCCCCACTTGGGGGCCTGCGCTCTAGGCCAGATGCAGCATAAGCAGGTACAACTCCACTGGCGTCCACTACCAATGCAGTATCCTGGCCTAGTGTGAGTTCAGGTTTTCATAGAACACTAGAACTGGAAGGGACCTCGAGAGGTCATCAAGTCCAGTCCCTTGCCCTCATGGCAGGACCCAGCACTGTCTAGACCCGTGGTCACCAACCAGTAGATCACGATCTGCCGGTAGATCTCAGGGGCTCCAAGAGTAGCTCTTGAGCCCTCTCTGAACTGCGCACCTGCACAGTACATTTACATTAGATTTCCTCATGTAATGTAGGCGGGGCTTCAAGGAAGGGAAGGGGCAGTAGATCTTCGTCTGTTCTGAGACTTAAAAAGTGATCTTGGGTGTAAAAAGGTTGGAGACCACTGGTCTAGACCCTCTCTGATAGATGTCTATTTAACCTGCTCTTAAAAATCTCCAGAGATGGAGATTCCACAACCTCCCCAGGCAACTTATTCCAGTGTTCAGCCACCCTGACAGGCAGGAAGTTTTTCCTAATGTCCAACTGGGTGGAAGGTTTTCCCTGGAACGCAAGGCGGAGAAAGGTTGCCTGCTAGGTATGCCAGTGTGTTTAATCTCAGATCACCCGTGCCCACATGACTTTGCAGCCTGGGATGACAGGCCAGGATAAAGTGGATTATGAATTCCTCCTGGTCACACTTCGCTCTTGCACCAGCTGACAACAGGGAGAGCGTGCGGAGAATGCCCTTGACAAAATGTGAACATTGGCCTGAATGGCTTTGCCGCCCCACTGGGAAGTGGAAAAAGTGATAGTGAGACTCCAATTCTTCTCCTCTCCTTGACCAGTCCCTGTGCTACTTTATTCCTTGACGAGCTGCCAGCAGCTCGGAGTTCCTGCACCCAGAGCTGGAGCAGGATTCAAATTACATCAAGGGAGCCGCACTCTCTTTTCATTTCAGGCATTCTTAGGGAACAACGGCATCTCCATGGAGTTCAGGGGCAAACAGGAACCTGCTGCAGCAGCCAAGGGGAGGGGTGACGCTAACCAGAAAATTCCCAAAGCAAAGGAAAGCAGCAGCTTGCAAGACAATGCAAACCTCTGAGCAGAGTGCACCCAGGCCTGGTCAGACTCACCCACAAAGCAAGGAGACGCAGCTCTGCTGCGTGGGAAACTGAACTAACCTCGCACAGCCCCCACGTTGGGCCATACGAGCTGCCGGCCTCTCCTCATGGAAACGTTTGTGACTTCACAAGACAGCATCCTGTCAGCCAGAGCTCAGGGCTGCACAGTAACCCAGGCCCAAGTGGCAACATACTGACAGAAACCCACTAGCTCGCATCCTCCAGGGAGGGAGGGAGAGCGAAAGACAGAAAGAAAACTGAGTCAGGCTCATTGGATTCTGTCCCCCAGCGTGACCAGGACATTACGTATCTGATGCACACAGGCACTGCTCAAATTTCCTTGACCAACTCAGTGCACCCCAATCGTGGCCAGTAGCCCGCCTCCCGTTTAACAGCCCTGACTCTGCTCCACAGTTCTATCAATGCACTTCACTTCCCACCTTCACCCTGGGAGACAATGTCTTTTGGTCACGGCCCATGCAGCTCCACCCATCACCTTAATCTACAAGACGAATCCACGGAAGTCCTACAAGAGGCCACAGTAGAGATCTCAGTGCTCCATTCCAGCTTGCTGTTTACCCAAACCCCATTCTAGCCCAAGGCCTTCCTCGAACGGTGACTGAATTTCAAACGGGGGTGTGTTACGATATGGATGCATATGCACTAGAGAGCTGCCGGGTCTCAGCAAGCCCGTTTCACTTTTTATATATAAGGACAAGGAGCCTGGTTTCAATAGGCAGCCCTGTAGTCTCTGAAACCCACTGGCGCTCTTGAAACCACGTCTCGAGAGGCTCACAAGCCCCTGAACGCTTTGAACAGCCATTCTGACCCACCCTATCCACTCCCACCCAAAAGGGGCTTCGTGTTACCAACAGATTGTTACAATCAGCCACACAGAGGTGAACTCACCTCACGCCCTTTCCTCTTGCATATTTCATGACTTCAAACCCAGCCTGAACACCAGATGTAATCTTAACACTCAATAGCATAGTGTATGGCAGGGCAGGTATTTGAAAGAAGCCATGAAGGTCTGAAATACCACACGTGTTTGCAAGTTTACCATTGTGTATTCATGCATCTAACAGGGGAGAACAGAATATTCATCCCATAATCATAAGCAGGGCATCAAACTCCTTCGGCTGTCTAGTACAGTAGATCAAGCCAGGTGTCACTGGAAAGAGACTTTTCCATCTGATTGCAGTGAGGGTTCAGCTCTGACCTATGGAGGACATGAGGCATTAATGACATCAAACGGATTAGCACAGGGGCAGAGGGCAAAGGGCTTCCTGGTACTTAGCCATGAGTGGCGGCTGTTATAATCTGTATCTGACTGAGAGGTGCCATGGAATGTCATTAGAAAGCTGGTAACGTGCTGGTTATTAAGAACACTGAGGAATGCAAGTGCAAGAAACTGGTGCAAAGTCATGGGTCGAGACTGAAAGCATCATTCTTAAAATGGGTTTGCCAGTCAAACAGGAGTTACCCCACCCTACACAAAGGAATGTGGCTTCTCTGCCCAGCTGCTTCCAAAAGTACTTGGAAAAGACAAAGAGAATGTGTTTACAGATAAATAAAGCAATCAAGCAAATGCATGGGGGAGTGGGAAGACAATATGGCTACACCCCCATCTGAACTATAGAGATGGGGGGAGGGGAGGCAGAAACGTGCCCTAAACATAAAATAACAAGCAACTGAATGGACTGACTGAATACAATATCAGGTCATTTACGAATGCCTGGAACATGCTGGAGATTAATGTCACTGGGAAGCGTCTGTGTTAGCGCTATAAGGAGACATTATGAAGACTCACTAATAGTGTGGCTGAACAAGGGAAGTGGGGGATGCAGCTAACAGTCTTTAGGGTACTTCAACCTAAGGGGTTACGGGTGGCGTCTCGGTGGACTCTAGAGAAGGGGAAAAGAGCCCCTAACGTCCCTTTCACTTCGGGAAACAAGGGAAGTTAACTTGTTGCTTTTCTGTGACAAGGTCCTGGCCAAAGGTATGATGAATACATAAAAACAGATAGACTGGGGCAGACCAAAGGTCCATCTAGCCCAGTATCCGATCTGCCGACAGTGGCCAATGCCAGGTGCTTGAGGGACTGAACAGAACAGGTAGCCAGGTGATCCATCCCTGTTACCCATTCCCAGCTTCTGAAAACAGAGTGTATAGATACCATTCCTGTCTATCCAGGCTAATTTATCCAGCTCTTTTTTTAACCCTGTTGGTCTTAGACTTTACAACATCCTCTAGCAAGGAGTTCCACAGGTTAACCGTGCGTCATGTGAGGAATTACTTCCTTTGGTTTGTTTTACCTGCTACGTATTAATTTCATTTGGTGACCCCCTAGTTCTTGTATTATGGGAACAAGTAAATAACTCTTTATTGACTTTTTCCACACCTGTCATGATTTTATAGATCTCTATCATATCCCCCCCTTAATCACCTCTTTTCCAAGCTGAAAAGTCCCCAATTTATTAATCTCTTCTCATTTGACAGCCATTTCATACCCCCAATCATTTTTGCTGCCCTTTTCTGAACCTTTTCCAATGCCACGATATCTTTTTGGAGATGAGGCAACCACATCTGTACACCGTATTCAAGCTATGGGCGTACCATGGATTTATACAGAGGCAATAAGATATTCTCCAGCTCTTTCTTAACGATTCCTAGCATTCTGTTTGTTTTTTTGGCTGCCGCTGCACATTGCATGGACATTTTCAGACATCATCCATTTTGAGTCATCTTGAGCATCTGGCAAAGATTTTACCTTGAACCCAGATAGTAGTTTGGCAAGTTAAGTCTTAGCCATTGGCAGTATGTTGTGTTGTGTGTTACTTGGAATCCTCTCTACCGTTATTTCCTCAGACTCACTTAATTCATGCTCTTTTGGTAGAATAGTCCAAGCCAGTGCTGTGTTTAACGGGCAGCAAGGATTAGCTCCATTCGACTGATGAGCTGGTGGTTTGGGACTCTTCAGAGAAGCAAACAAGCCCTTATTATTTCTCTAAGCTGGCCACGTCAAGGAGCTTTTGGGGAAAACTTGGAACGGGGAGTGAGCTCAGTTGTAACTAAGGTTGATGGAAGCCAGAGTGGGGCTCTCCTGCACCATGGCTGTCTAAGCACAGAAACTCCAGGTTTAATCTGCATGCGCTGGGAGCCTCCCAGGCAGAGGGTAACAGTTGCAAGGCCCCCCCAGGTTATATGGCACGTGGTGAGACAACCCCTTGCTAGCCTGGATTTGTGCCCTAAACGGACCGGACCATCACACACGAGTAACCAAGCATATAAAAGCTGCTATAGTTAAGGCTGATCTTAGCAACTAAATTCTAACTCTGTTTCTTAAAAAACGATTGTATTGACAGCAGACAGATCTGTTGCTGAGAAGGGGAATGCCAACCACGTGTGGATACTTTTCAGATATAAATATTAATAAGATACGCTAACCCTAATCCATATCACCATCGTCAATTATGTATCTACATAGAGCTGTGCAGCAATGCAATGCACCGGCATTAGACTCACACACGGGTAACTACAGATTGAACCTCTCTTGCCTGGCATCCTCAGGACCTGACCGGCACCAAACCAGAGAATCTGCCAAATCACAGGAGGCCAATATGGTCTAGCAGCATTTGCAACACTTCCACTGCATGCTGGGCTTTGGAAAGACAGTTAGAGGTAAATTAGAGCTAAATAACAGCAACAGAACACCAAGATCTAGGATTGGTGGCTGTAAACAGACTTCATGGGACTGCAGGAAAATTGGCCGTGCCCACGATAAGTGGACATCTGGCTAGCTAAAATCATGCTGGACCACGGATGTTGCCAGACCAGAGTGTGCTGAACTAGAGAGGTTCAACCTGTACTAAGCATCAGAAAATGGCCATTTGAAATACAGATATCCAAAACACTGGACAACAGCAACATAAGTGACATACCAGATATGTAAGAGCGTCCATTGCAGTCTTCTATATCCATCTTTAAGGTACTCTGCTGAAAGAGAAAGCAG